CGACTCCTGACAACAGACGGGGTCTGGGTGCTCAAGGCTCAAGGTACGTGTCGCGAGGCTCACAAACACTGCCGAAGGTCACACTCAATCAATGGTTAGATGCAACAGGTGTAAGCCCACAAGCCCTTTTTGACTCGACAGCTGCGCACAGGCCTAAACCCGACATAGTGCTCCTGTTAGAACCTCTTGCAGCTGTCGCAAGAAGAGGGGCTCCCCATCGTGAAACACCTGTCAGGCTCTTGTGGGCTTGGATCGATGCTAGGTAGCGATACACTGGCATGTCGGTAATCGTGGTGCGTGCGTAACCATGGCGACGATGGGATATAACATCCTTGCTCATGAGAACCGACATAACAAACGGCTCTGGAGTGAGGGATGCTAAAGGTTTTGCGGGCGTGGCACATCGGGCAGCCGTTAGGCGAAGATGGCTGGAGAAGTTTGCAAGTCCACGTGCTTGCTTTTAAGGTTCGGGAATCAATTCTTAACGGGTCTACGATCAAGGTTTTTACGACTCGGACATTTGGAATAAAACTCCGCGCGAGAAGACTCGCGGTTTTAAATCTAGTCGCAAAATGCCACATTACTGCTCCGAGACGCCTTCTCGAAGTCAGAGATTGCGATGCCACCTTCTCCGCCAAGGTTGACCTTGGGTAAATACAACGCTTGAGGTTGAGAAGTTTACAATTAAATTCAAGCGCCGCGATTGCCTGCTGAGAACAAAAGCCAAGGGCTTCTACAGCATGATGCTTGCGCCAAGGGATTCGGCAGCTGCACGTCTTGAACAAGGCGAAACCACAGGAAATCAGAATGAGATTGTGGTGCTACACACAAGCTGGTGCTAATGGTGGTTGCGATGATAGCGAGGATCATGCTGATGATTGTGGTACTCATGGCCATATTGGTCCAGCCGGCCATTCTGATGGTGATGCCGGCTCATCCGAAGTGCAGTTGCAACCCCCTTTCGCTAAGATGGTCGCAGTCCTGCTGTGCGGTTGAGATCTTGGGAAATGCTCCAGTGTTGCGGTCTGTGTCATGCGCCTGCCGGACTTTATTGCACGAACTGTGAAGTGGTCTGGCACTTTTCAGACTTTGGCTTTTTGGGCTGGCGAGGTGCTCGCACATGCAGCGTTGAATTGGTCTTCCTCTGCATGTTCTCCTCGTAGAGGATGAGGTCATCTGGATGCGGCACGGCTTGATCTAGCTTGACCGACTGCGTTGGAAACCCGCAAACTCTCAACGCCGTGCGTGAGTGCGCGAGGCTCTGCACGGTGCTCTATCTTGGAAGAATGAAACTGAAAGGAACCAGAAATGGGCTTGGAAGCTGGGTTTGGGGGGTGTCTTGCGATCTGCTCTGTCAGGTCTTTCACACTTGGGGTCCCGGACTCAGGCAGTATCATTGCAAGTTTACTTCCGCGAAGCCAAAAACGCAAGTTCGACACACTGCAGCCTTGGATCTCTGGGCGGGAGGGCTTAGGATTTAGGGTTTAGGGTTACTATAGCATATGAAAAAAAAGGTTGTTTTTCATCATACATAGTCTACGTTGAGTTTAGTATCTCTGCCATATACAGCAAGTTAACATCGTCACTTACTCGTTACTTACGAGTCTAGCAGACTAGGGAGCTACGGTGGATGATACCAATCCTGCACTACCCATATTCAGGAATAGTCCTTTATTCCCATAGTTTAGGGCCCTTAATGTAATGCAGGATTGAAATCATCCACAGTAGCATTCGGAACTGCACTGCGGAGAGGGGAAGATCTCGGAGCAGGTCGTTGAAAGGCACACTGCAAAGCCGGTGTTGGGTCAGGGCTTTGGGGTTTTGGGCTTTAGGGTTTAGGGTTTGGGCCCTCTTGTTAACACTCACACTCGGACAACACCAGGCAAAGAGTGTAGTAGCGTCGATTTTTTAGAAAGATTGCGATACGACTTGCCATCAGGGCCAGGCTGTAACTATACGGGCTGCTGTAAGGGTTGTCAGAGGAGGTACCATGGGAAAAAAGCAAACATTGCTCGACAAAGGGTGGAGGCTTTCAGGATTTAGCTTCTATCATAGTCGGTATCATAATCGGTTAGACCATGTTATGTTTACATGATAATAGATGATGGTATGTCCTAGTTGTATATTTATATTATTGTATACTTATAGTAAACAAAAAATGTTGCTGCAGGCTTGCAAGCAAGAACGCCTGGAAGGTAGCCAACCAAAAACCCCGAAACCCTGAACCCTAAACCCCTGAACCCTTTTTGCAACTGGCTTGCAACGTCACTCCGGGACAGCTGACTCCAACCCTAAACCCTGAACCCTAAACCCCTGAACTCATGAACCCTAAACCCCTGAACCCCAAACCCTGAACCCATGAACCCTAAACCTCTGACCCCTACACCGTTTTACACCACTCAACCCAGAGCCTGGCCTTCGAAGCCCCTCCTGTCCTGGGTAAAGCGAGCGCTTGGCAGCGTGGCGATGCCCAAGATGTCATCTTCCTCGGCGATTTTTG